AAGAGCACGCGAAGATCTGAAATGCACACGACAGCGACGCTGGAATCGAGGAGAATCGCAGAGAGGCAGCATGGTGGAGATACAGAACCGGCCGGGAGGATCGCAGCAGCTGAGCCGTCTGGAAGAGGCACTGCTACCTCTCATCCCGTCCGCCCTCTCGCTCCCTGAGTGCAGGGAAAGCCACTGAAAGTTTGAACACGCGAGAACAGGCGGAGGCATGCCGGGTGCTGCAGATTTCCGGGCAAGCTTAGGGTCATAGGCCGTCCCCCCTTTCTGCACAGGCAAAGGATGGCAAGGCACGTGTCAAACATCTTCTTACTCAGTTTGGAAGACCTTGCAAGCCGCTAAACCAACTTTCCAGACTCCTATTTCTATGACCCTCAGACGAACCTTCCAGATCGTTCTCTGCCTCCAGCTGACTCCTCTTTGCGCCCGCGGGCCGGACCTCCTCTCCAAGGTCACCGGCCAAACCCGCCGCCTCACATCTCTGGTAGTTGGAGCGGTGCTTTCGCGGACGCCACAAGCTGCCCGGGTGAAGCTCAAGCGATTGCCATTTGGCCTGACATGGCCTGGGCTGAATAGCTGCTGAGTCAGCAGGTTGGGCCTTCAGAGCGAATCAAGGGGGTGAAGGATGCCAGGTGCGATCCGCCTGAAGCTCCTGCATGGGGATCAAGGGCCAAAACTTTGCTGGCCTACATTCAGCGGCTCGTCCGCAGGCTCAATCTCCCTGGCAGACTCAGTTTGCGAGAAGCTATTGCGCAACAAGACCATGATGTATTTGATGCCATCTCTTCATCCCAGCCATCGGCCGCCCGGCTTGAAGGCCTCGGACTTTGGTACTGCCTAAGACTTAACTTAAGAGCACACGGAGTCTCTGTTGTCCTTTACTTACCTCGACTCAGGTAAGCTTCACGCGAGTGATTTCATTTGCCACCGCCTGCAGGGATGGCGCTGTAGATTCCGAGCTCAAGAGAGTGTGAACTGAGACAGCCCGCGAGGAGTTGATCCAACAAGCCCGAGTCTTCTTGCCTTGGTAGCTCCCTCGATGTTTTCCGCCTCCCGCACCGTCTACCCCTTGACCCCACGCCAAGGCTGGTTAAAAGGCTGCGGTCAGGCACTCTCATGGCTTATCAGTGGCAGCCTGAGCAGGCTAGCAAAAGAAGGACATCTCCTGCGCGTGTGCGAGCTCACATTAGCCGTCTTGGCCATCGTGGCATGCTGAACAGGCTTTCAACCTACTGCGAAATCAAGGAAGCGGCACATCGGCAAGGCGTCTTTTGTCCAACCGCTTGTCATCAACTTCAGCACGTTCCACATCGTCCTCCAAAGGAATTCGGTTAGAGAGAACGGCAACGTCACTTAAGAGGCCTCGCCAGCACAGCGGCAGAAAACACCTTCGGTGCTCACGTGACTCCCAGTTTCAGCCATGCAGAGATGCCTTGAGATGGCCTGAGCTCTCGACTGTGAGATCCTGGTCTGTTTCTGGGTCGCTGTGAGGCTTCCTGGCGTTTCTGCTCCCTGGCAAGTCTCATGAGTCATGAGTCTTCAAGAGGTACTGATGTCGGGTGGGCCATCGCGATTTGCACGACGGCAGTAAGACTGTCCTTTCCTACGGCAGTCTCATACCGCAGAGCTCGACCGCACACTGAGCTCCTGGCGCACAGTAGTTGCGGCAGAAGTCAGTGCCCCCAGGACAAGCCTCCTGTCACGGTTCGTCAATAGCAATGGATATAGTAAATAGTAGCGGGCATATCAGTGCCAACAGTGCAAGCGACAAGCCAGGCACCTTCCATGGTCTGATGCACTTGCCTGCACCTGCAAGACTTTGCGCACTGCTGCATAACTTCCGTAGGAGGACCACCACATGCTCCATCTTGCCAGTCCCCAACAACATGCAAGCGAGCAGGCATCACCCTCGCACCAAACGAAGCCTGATCCAGTCACAAGACATAATTTGCACGCAAATGCTGGCTGCACAACAGATTTGCAGTTCCGGTTCCGGCCGAACCTCGTGCTACATATCTGCTGGCCTGCTGCTTGCAAGCATCCCCGTTGATCACGGTTTTGGCCGAGAGCCGAATCCTTGACGCTTTAGTGTTAGTCTCAATTGTCTCCGTTGGACTGAGCGACAATGCAGCGACAAACGGCATGACATGGATCGGCCTCCCAGATTTGTCTAACGCTCTGCTGGACATCTGGCCTGCCAGCGCTACGTCTCGTCTCTGGCTCATAACGGCTGCCATACTGGCCCTACTGCTTTGCTATTCTTTGTTATGCCTTGCTGCTTCTTCGAGCACGACTGAATCTCACTGACTGCACCGCCTACTGAGGAACACGACGAGTTGGGAGGATCTGCGAAGCCGGTGCTACTGTGAGAGCGACCGGGGTTCTCGCGGCTTTGCTGCTGTGAGCCAGCAGATCAAGCAGAATGCTGCCACAACCTTGCAGCACGCAGCAGTATCTACCACGAGAACGGCCACATTGAGAAGGACCACAACAGCAGTAGCCGCAACATGCACCACTGCAAACAATGAGCGCGACACGATTGCCTTCGCAGCCACAATGCAAGACAAGCAAGGTGGCACGACCAAAAGACGACGCTGCTCTCTGAAACCCAAACGAGCAAGAAGAACGAAACAAACTATCAAAAATTCAAGAACTACGATCCTACCATGTCCGCTCCACTACGAGCATCACTGATGTACATCACCAGCAACGTCGCCGAGCAAGACAGATACTGTACGCAGCCAAACAGAACGCCACAACTCAAACTCAACAGACATGATGAAGGCGCAAGAACAACAGCGAGCGCACATGGACTGCAGGATATAGAAGCTTGGCGTCATGCCATGACGGCCAAAGTCGGGCCCCACAGGCCGAACGATGACTCTTGACCATAAAGTTGCCTCGCCAATGTGAACGACGCATCTTTGGATTGGCCGGGTAGGAAAAGTTGTTCAGAAGGCCCCAACTTGAACTGGTCCCCATCACATTTCAACAGTGTGTCATGATGCTGGCAAGCTGATGATTGCACAGGTTTTGGTACATACTGTTCCACGGGTTTGTCAGGGTCTCGGGGCTGGCTCATGGATTTGGCTTGGTTTTCAAGCACCGCCAATAATGCTAGATCCGAAAATAGTTTCTGAAGTCTCACGACGATCGTTGCCCTACCAAAACCCGCGTGCCACAGTAGTTACACTGCAACGCAGCTAGGGCATCTGCCACATGGGCTCGCAGCCTCACAGCCGTCAGTTTACACCGAGATGATTTATTGCTGTGGTAGTAATCAACGTTTTTGCGCACTTGTCATGAGGCTTCAGCACCAACTAAGTTGCAAGGGATACTTCTATCGGAGAAACAATGACTGTGCACATCTCGGGCTAGCCTCGCGCGTCCCATCAGCACCTGCAACCAATGTTGCAAGCATACCCCTTGGACCAAAAGATTTCTCTGCATACATGCTTCTGGCACGGTCTTGCATAAAATAGAAAACGCGCAGTCACTGCAAGACAGCGCAATGCAAAAAGTTCGCGGAGGAGGCTGGGAAGTGCTCTACCATGCCTTCAAACAAAGGCCGTCTCGTCATTCCAACGTGTGACTGAACGTGATGTGGCAGAATCCCATGCGGCTTGCTTGTTTTGAAGTGTTCCAGGTGTTCCACTTGTCATTGTGTACTGAAGCATGTCCTGCTGTGCAGTCCTCGTTGGTCATCCGACCTTTAATCTACATCTGCTTGTATCATGTCTCGGCAAAGCCAGCCCTAAATCCTGCGAGCGAGGTGCAACGCTTCGTCTGCTCAGACACAACATGGCATTTGGAAGGGATGATTTTGCGATTTGGATAGTTGAGCATGAACTCCCCCTCAGCAGACACTGTCGCAGCTACCCTTGCAGTCTTTGCCGAGTTGATGGTCAAATGGCACACTTGGTGTCGCAGACTGCGCAGTCTTCACCTGCCGCGGGCTATAGAACCACTAGAACAAGCTGGCCGGCTGGCCTGGATGAAGGCCTTGTCACTGCAAGCATGCAAACTTCGACGCAAGCACGGCGGACCGCAACAAACTGCGCTCGTCCTCGTGTGACAATCCTCGGTCAAGGATTGCAATTTTCAGGGAGTTTCACAGGGTGCGGGCAATGCATGTGCCACACTGTGCACGCAGAATATGATAAATCACGGGCTGGTGTCAACTCAGTTCGTAACCCGCGCTCTGAGTTGCTGCTGATAGCTGTCTGGAAGCCTCATACCGCACCTGAGATGACAGACTGCTGTCTGTGGGGCTGGAAGTATCTTAGAGACTGTTGCGCCGAGAGGCATTGGTGGGGATGGCAGTGGCTCTAGCAGCGAAACTGCCATCTCCATCCCTTTTGTAGAGAAACAGCGGTGCACCCTGGGTTGCCCAAGTCCTGAGCTTCCTCGAGGCGGCCGGTCTGCCATCCAAGACAAAAGGGACTTCGCTGCTTGAAAGTCAATGTCGAACTTGCCAAAGACTCAACGAATCCCAGTTGCGCCGAACATTCCGCAACTTGTGTCAGCCTTTGAATCTTTGAAGCTCTGCAGATCTTTCTTGCGACGGTGCCCATGCTATGAAATGCCAACAAATTTCAGGAGGCATGATCGCATTCGTGCGAGCAAGAAGCTGCAGTCGAGCCTGGTTCAATGACTCCTGTGCATCATATCAGAGAATGCGATGGAGTACTTTCAAAGAGTTTGGCAGGCTGGTGTTCACTTTGCGGGGCGGTGGTGAATCAGCCCGCAATCTCCAACAGTCCAACAGATTGTATTACGGCGCCCAACCGACGACAACAAAGAAGACCATGAGACGAGATGCTGATGCGACGAAGAACGGACAACAACTTGCTCTCAGTACTTGTAGCTCGAGCTGTGATGGCGCCCTCTAGCGGATTTGACGTGCATTGACAATCCAAACAAACACTTTAAGCTTGGGCCTGTTTGCTTGAAGCCCCTTTGGCAACCATTCTGCACCGACCAGTTGTCCGTCATACTGGCTATGCCTGCATTGCTGGCAAAATCTTGCAATGGGCTAGAGACAGCGAAAATATAGAGTACTTTTTTCGATGTGCGGGAGAACACTCCAACTGCAATTAGGCTGGTAATGCCAGTTCGTACATCAAGGCGGTTGTTGAATCATGACCTGCAAGTTCGCTTTACAAAGGCATGGAAACAACATGAAACAATCATCCGGCACGTTGAGTTCCTTTGAAGCTCCGCATGGCTGGAGTTCATCGAGAGAGCTTTAGGGATATGCATGGATAGGTCGAAAATGCATTGGATCTATCTCTCACTGAGCCGAGCTCCGGTATCCTCTGTTCTGCTTCGAAGTGGTTCATACATTGCTCGCTAGCAACACGGACAAACAATTTCCTTCTAGCCACACTTAGAATTCTATACTTCTCTGAGAGGAGAAGGGGACTGAATCTGAACAACAGTTTTTGTCCGGAGAGTTGAACGGCAGGACCCGTGGATGACTGTTGGCCTGTGGCCTCCGGCAAAGCTGCACAGGTTACCAAGGCTTCCAGCGCGGGAGTTCGTTGAGGATCGAGTGCCCCGGCAAAGGCTGCATTGAGATGACGTGGGAAGGCCGCGTTGCAAAGGTAGACCTTGCAGGCGTCCTGCAGAGTGCACGTTTGAAGATTTTAAAAGCTGTGCAGAGTGTTGCGCATGGTGCCGAGCACACATTACACAAGACGGAGTGGCAGCCCTGGCTGCGGCCGTGCTCTGACCAGGTTCCCTGCAAGATCACCAAGGCGCACTGGATGCACTGGCGAACAAGGCCGTAGTTTTTGATGTTGAGAGTCGATGTTCACACGTGTTGTTCAAGTTCAACGCAAGCCAGAATTCAGCTGTCATCACAACCTCCATGTTGAAAAGATCTACTCCTGTTTCGCTTGTTGTCTTCTGCTGTGCAACGGCAGGAAAGTCCTCCAGGCGGCATGCCAACACATCTTCGCAGCGGAACTCACATATCCTTAGTTGGGAACTCTTTCGCGAAGCACCCCCCTGGTCTTCACCACTCGGGTGTGAAAACAATGCACTCTCCCTGCCTTTGTATGTCTTCAGGAGCGTGGGCTTTTGCGGCCAGTGCCGCCTGGTGACATCCGAAGATCCCATATTGATTTCGACCATTAGGCCCGCTATCGGACCAAAAAAACAAGAACCCCTTGCAACGCTCACCAAAGTCTGATCGGAATCTCATGGCTTCAAAAGCTGCAGGCAGCATATGTTAGCACATGTTGGCACGGTGTAGCCAAAGACCAACAACTGAACTCGGTCCAACAATGGAAAGCCATGGTGAAGGCCTCATACCGCCCACGCGATCCAGACTTCTCAACTCTAGGCTTCCCACGTCTTCCCTACACAGCAAAAGACTCCAATCTCTGCGACCATGCTAGCACTATTTGGCAGTGGTATCGGTTTGCATTTACACATGCTTCTTGTGCACTGGGAGAATGTCACGAATTGCACTTAGCACGGAGCCGGCCCCCGGCTCTAGGAGAAACCACCGAAATGACTTTGTCGCCCTTAGCTCCCAAGAGCCTCAGCTTTTTCCGTCCTTTCGCTCTATGCGCACAGCGACTGGGGGGGACGACTCGGCAGAAAGCAGCAATCCGGCCCAGTGAGTGTTTTGGAAATGCGGCGCCAATAAGGGGCCGAATACCGGCTTCCCTGAGAAAAGAATACCATGAAAGCCGCTGCGTGCCTCATATTCATCCAAACGCAATTGTCAAGAACGTCATGCAGCACCGGCCCTGGCACAGAACTTTCCAGCTCCAAGTAGCCAAGGTTTCGTCAACTTGAGAAGATGGCCACGAAAGCAACGGCAACAAGGCAAACAAATAACAAGAGAAGGCGAGTCGACAGAGCAAGGGCATTGTTGCGGGCATGCTCGGCGGCATGCACGCAAGCAGGTATGTATTGCCATGAAGCTTGAAACTAGCCTTCGTCTGCATTACACTCATTACACTGGCACACATGTTGTAATACCTTGACCGGCCTCATGCGCTCCGGAACGTTCCTGCATAAGCAATAACTCGGCCATCTGGTAGTAGCTTAGCTAACGACTGAGGTATCAGGCGTGTAAAGACAAAATGCAAGTTGCCAACCATGTTGTTTAAACAGATGGACCTTACGCGGGGGTGAGGGGGAGTACCGGACTCCTGACTTTGTACAATACCCCACCTTGCTGCCTCTGAATCAATCATTTGCATGGTGTGGGTGGGCCCCCCCCTTCCCCCCACCTGTATCTGTTGTGAAAGGATCAGGTAAGGTCTTGGACACGATTTTGACCTGAGTCTCTACTACTACTTCCATAGAACGACAACTGCGGAAAGCTCCACAGAGCTAGCTTTAGTGGGTTAGAGCTCTCATGTCACTGTCGAGGGCGAGGTTTTGGATGTTTTGGGACCCTTCAAGCATTGAGAAAGACTGCCGGGGCGCTTTGACAGATTTGGGACTTTTTTGGGTTGCTGATCGCGGGTTTGGTTCGATTTTGCTGGGCTTGCATGTTTCATTGCTGCTCGTCAGCTCTGGGCAGTGCCAAGATACTCTGACTTGTCCGAGCGAAAGCAAGCACTGACTGCTCGACTGGGGGTCTGTCTGCATCCGGAATGCAATGCATGATATTCCGACCGAGGGTCAGCAGGCACTTCGAACTACGCATTTTTCACTGAAGCCACAGCAAAACTGCTGCCGTGGACTGGAACGAACTAGCAACTGTTTCGCCTGGTGCCGTGGCTCCATGAGTTCGATGCCAACACATTTCTTAGGCTTCGAAGCGAGAGCCGCTGCAAGCACCACCTTCACAGGCAAGTAACAGGCTGCACATGGCTCTGCTCCGGTACTCGCGCTTCCGAGCGGGCCTGCCCTCTACCACTGCCCAAATCGTAGAAGATGTCGCCCTGTCGGAGTGAGGACGGGTTGTAGCGCGTTGGGACAGCACGATCATGTAAGTGACTAAATGACCACAGCTCCTTACTTCAGATGAATAGCGTACGATGAGGAAATGCGAGAACCAATGCCTTTCTTAATGTAAAAAAAGCGAGCATGTTGAAGAAGAGAACCTGGAACCCGTAAACTATTTCAATCGGAGAAGTCGCAAAGCAACCAAGCTCGCGCAAGCTGCCCTTTGCTACAAGTGCAGCATTGTAGACTTAGCGTACTAGTGACATCGTCGCCGCAGCTGTTACTGCACACGAAGCTGTCATCAAGCGTGCGTCCTGCTCCAAGTTTAGCAGGCGAAAGATGTCCTCAGGTGTCAGAATCTCTCCGAAGACCAGTGCTGACGCAACAGCGCCAGCTTTCACCTGGCGAGAAAGCTCTTCCAAAATCACAGTCAGAAGTGTGAGCCAAGATTGCCAAGGCCAAGGCACTGCAACGGAAGCACCCTCGCATGCAAGCTTTGACAATCCGGTCGGATCTGTCTTGCAGCCAGCATCCTCAAAGAACACATTCACGCGCTCGAGCAGGCTCTGCGACATGGCTCCAGCTTGGGGGCCATGTGGCTAAACCACTGGCATGTGAAAGATTATTCAGATGTATTGAAGCCAATTTGAGATCTGAAGAGTGTCCTCCTCCCATAGCTGGAGCTTTCGCATTTGCATTGGAGCTGAGCCACACCAGCTGGCAAATGGATTTCAAGCAACGTGACATCTTCAACACAAGAGTTGATGTGCTATTGCAGCAGTTGGGTGAAGATTTTGTACGATCAGGCGGGAAGCATGGGGAAGCTGGGTGTTCCAGCCTCCAGGATCCCGGCATCAGTATGTACAAAGGGCGCGTCAACCAAACACCTGCATCTTCATGCTCCCCAAACTTGTGGCGGACATGTCAGACTGTACAACTTTTCACGTATGTCATCTTCGATAAATAAGCAGATGTTAAGTTTGAAGGTTGATGAACTCCCAGCCCGCAGGCATCCAGTTTGATCTACAAGATTCGTCTGCCGGTGAGTCTATAAGCTGTTCTGGGGTCACATGCATTAACATCCGCGACTCGAAGACATGCACCAGCATCGAAATTGCTTGGTCGCAAGACAGGTCATATGCTTTCACAAACATACTTCGACTCAAATGGTACTGGCCTTGGTCCGCGCACGCTATGCTTCCGGCGATGTAGCGCCAAGCACCTGCCCGAAGTGGAATTTTGGCAGTTGAAGAACTCTTCAGCATAGAGTCAGGCTATCAACACTTTGCAGATCTCGTGGCCCGCCTGGGGCGACGGACTTGGCCCCGTCTGGCCCTCTCTTGCCAAAGGTGCAGTCTCCTCCTGAGTGGGCTTGTCGGCCTCTGCGCGGACATTGAAAGTTCGGATGTCAATCCTGAAGTTTGTGTAGACCAGCCTTGCGTGAACGGTGCCATCGCAGCAAACATCTGCTCAGCAGAACTGTTGCCGAGCTCACAAGCCTCACTCGCTGCTGATTTCAATTTCTTATTCTTACGAACAACGAACATCAACGAACGACCCATAAGAAACCTGAGTGTGGATTCCACCGTGAAGAAGATAACCCAAAAGGCGAGTGCTTGCCATGCCCGTATCTTCACATTCCCCAACTTTACTTTGTCACCGTCCGTGTGCGGGCTATCATGCACCGAAGAGGATGCTCGGCACACTCCCGGCAAGTTGATGTCAAGTTATTCCGCCCTCGAGAGCCTCAATGGTGGAACGTGTCCGTCGTTTGGTGCTGTCGCCCTCGGCATGTGTGGCGTGCTAGTGGATAGGAAGGCCGGCCGGTGAGCTGCTGCTTCTCAGACAGCTCCATCGTAGCTGCACTTCAGACATGAAGTTGCAGCCAGTCCATGCGCACACGAGAAGAGAACGACACAACGACATGGCACCTGGGCAGTAGATTTGCGATGTCGATTCATTCGGGACCCATTGCCCGATTCGTGCAGCAACGAACTGCTTTGAATCACACGGCAGTTTCATGTTGAACCAAGAGCCAATAAAGCTGCCCTTCTTGGAAGTTGTCCGAAGATGTCTGGACGCGCCGGTGCAGTGACTGGGGTGAAGGCCATGCGGCGATCTCAGTGCGACATTTCTCTCCACCTTGCAACAAACGGCTTGAGATGCAAGACCGGGCATGGTACGTCAAGCTAACTCCGAGAGCAAGGCAGTCGCAACCGGCCAGGCCTGCATCCTCAAGAAAGCGATCCAACGAAAATTTCGTCATCAAAACCATCAGACACAAGAAGAACAGTCTCAATGTATCAACAAGCAGATGGTCATGATATCAAACATCGTCACGATAACCATGGTGAAAAATGATAGCTCAGCATTCGGAGCCCCTGTGCTTCTCCTACCATTTCCACGGATGTCCTTAGTATCAGGCTCGCAGTTGTGAAGGGAGTCAGCATCAAAGTGCATCAGCATCCTAAAGGAAAAGGTCAATGACATGGGGGTTCGGAGTCCGATTGCAGGAAAACGTTGCCGCAATCCAATGTACTTTGGGCTGCCCATCTCCACAAAATCGGGGTTTACATTCAACCATCCGTCTATCCATGCATCCAACCATTCATCCACCCATACATTATCCAAGGGCCATACCACGAGAACCCCTGAGGCTCCCAAGAGTTTCGGGAGTAAAGGACTTCCGGAGGCGGAAGTGCACCGGAGCGTGTCGCGAGCACAATTTTAAAGGCGGAAACACGAGTCTCACACTACGTGTTGTGGCAGAGCTCCGTTTCCGAATGCTGCCATGGCGGTGGCCATCATCAGAGTCCGGATCCGCCACGATGCCCCCCATGCTTTTCAATTTTCGCTGGCCAGCGGGTGTGGGCGTTGGAGTGACTGATCAAAGACTAAACGTGCAGAGTGCATGCTTTGTGAGTTGCTGTGCATTTCTTGTCGTCCTCAGCATCAAGTGCTGAATGCGGTCTAGTCCGGTAAGACACCGCAAGAACACAACACCGCGACATTACAGTAAGTCGCTCGGTCAAGTCATGTCCGGCTGCGGAACCTGAAGCATTCCTTACCAGCGCCCTACCAAGCCGCGGTCCTGCGACTCGTCTGTCTCCCACAAATGACAGTTGCCTGCACGGACCTCGGCCACTGTGGCATTATGTCGCTACGGCTAGTACAGACACGAAGGTGCAGTGCGTCACTATGGCCGCAAGATGCCGCAAAGACATATATCAGTCCACCAAAGCGGAGCAGAAAGATGGTTGACTATATACATGTATATATAGATATATATATATATCTATATATATATAGAGATCACTGTATATTACTGCATAAATGAGTCTGGCATGGCTGACGCTGACGAGATGCTCAAAAAGCCGGAGCAGCAAGCCCGCTGCACGTGCCCAAAAGAAGCTGCTGACACAGGCGCCGAAGTTGAACTTTACACACTGATATGACTTAATGGCGGACACAAAGCAAGCCGCGGTGAAAAGGAAGGATGACGATTCGCCTGTGTGCCTGGCCGACATTCAACACGAGGGCAGTGAGTTGATCTGCCGAATCCGAGACGGGGAGGCAATGAATGATCGGGTAGCAGAGCGGTTTGGAAGGACGGTATTGGAAGTGACGCCTGAGCCGGACGAGTGAGTCGACCACGACGTCGTGGCGGTCTTGGGATGTCTTGGGCCAAGACAACGCGGAGACAAAGTAGCACCGTCGAAGCTCGGAAAAAGCTTAGCCCAAAATGAATCATCGACGATGCAAGCGTTGTCGACAGCTGACCCGAGCCCTTCAAGTGAAACTGAGTTGGTCAACATCTGCGTAAAAGTTCGTTTTTGTTGCAACCTGTCACATGCAGACTCAAAATGCACGGCACTGCGCTGGCCAAATTCGCATCCAAACTTCGTATTCCGCGTGTCTGAGCAGCTTTTCTCAGAGGAGTGCGTGCAAGACAGGCATTACTAATTACGCCGACGATGCTGACGATGTGTCTGCCAAAAGCTACAGGCACAGTGCCCCTTTTGGTCGAAGCGCGGGAAGCAGCGCCTCGGTGCCAGGGTGCTCAGGTTACCGACCGGTTGGGCGGTGCCGCCCGTTTCGTCTTTGAAGTCGGGACAACACAAAACGAGCGGGGTGTGTGACGAAACGGAAATGCAGCGCCCAGTCTCATCCCGGGGCAGCTGCGGATGCTGCGGAGCACTGCGGCGAGTGTTCGGGGATTAAGGGGAGGGCGCTCAGGACGAACAGTCCGACATCCACCCTCCCCTGCTTCAGCTGGGACAGGACAAAACCGTCAGAAGCAGCAAAGCCGGACCTAATTTCCGGAGGGCAGTCATGGCCAAGCCAGCGAGCGAAGAAGATTCAACTAAAGACAAACCTAGACCTAGATTGTGCACTCGGCGACTCACCAGTTTCAACACACAGCCACTCCTTCCCGAGCATGATAACTTGTAAGGACACTGTAAGGTTTCCATCGAATCGAAGGACTCTTCCGGCACCATCTATCTTCCGTGCTTCTATTGCTGCAGTGCAGCCTCGAACCAGTATGCAGTGTGCAGGTTTATGACATTGGAAGCCAACAGCACTGAGCTGTGCACCTCTGCAACCATCCGTGCCAAGTCATCCAGCAAGGAGAATGGAGCCTGTAACACCAACACATGCAGCAGCCCTCGCGCGCTCATCTCAGCTCTGGGAGATGCGCCCGCCCCCACTTCAAGACTGTCCCCGGTCCCCCACCCAGGCGAACGCCGCGAAGCATTTACAACACTTACAATTAAATTATCACTGGTGACAGTCAGCACAACTGCTTCGAGAACCAGTGCATACCAGTGCTCAGTTTGCCTCTGCTCCAACTCGCGCGGCGAAGTGCGAAACCTCGGGCAGCACAACGGTTCCTGCCTTCTCGGCAGCTTTCTGGGGCACCAGCGGCTGAAAGCAGCAGGAGAGTGCCCAGCTGCGCTGATGCCTGAATAGCATGCACCAAATGCCATGAAGCCAGATGAAGCCTAGGTTCCTGACCCCTTAACTAAAATAGCTAATAATAAGGGTGCCTCTTTCCCTGCTATTCAGTTTTGAGAAGGGGACCATGCGATAAAAAGGGCAAGGGGGAACTACTCAGGAACCTAGCAGCGCTGCAAAGACGGGGTTTCGGGAAGCCAAGTTGCGAATTCAGACATCTGCGCGTGGCACTTCCGGACGGTAAAGAAAAACGCCTCAGGAAACAGAGCACAGAACAACGAAACGACACGTGCCACATTCGAACCGTTCGAGAGAACCAGATGGTAGGCGCTGCCAAGCAGCAATGACTGACAGAGTCAGCACCACAGCACCTCTCAAGAGCCCATGATATCCTAGCTGCTTTCTAGCTACACAGTACGGCAGCAGTCTGCAAGACAACAACGTTCAATGCAGCAACATGCATCAATCACCACATTAATGGCACAGTGGCAGCTCTGCGAGGCAAGGAGCTGCAAGCAGCTGATGGCACTGCGCATGGCTGGGTCGTCAACCAATCAGTCGGTACGAGGACAGCAAGCTCGATCCCAACCTACGACGATGGACCGAAGTAAGCTTTTCAGGCAAGCAAGCAAGCAAACAAGGCAGATACTGTAGCTCGTTTTCACCTGTTCTGCCGCTTGACCGGTTTGACCACTGAGAGCTTTGCTCGAAGACTTTCTCGGGCGACACATTTGCCAAGCGGCAGGCCTTGCAGCACGCGGAACCACGGAAAACCAGGAGCGGGACGACTGTAAGTTTCTTGCGGCGAGGGCGAGCAGAGTCACTAAACCACCCGTCAGCAATGCCAAGGCCTGAGCGGGATGCTCCAACTGCTTGCACGGAAACAGAGCTCCGAAGAGCTGGGGCATGCAGAAAACGAAAATTCGAACGCAATGCCCGGCGTTCAGCTGCGATCAAGACCGCCATGAGAGGCGATGTCTCAGTCAAACGAGCGAACTCGGTCAACAAATCTCAAGCATGTTCAAACTTCAACAGCTGCCAAGTCGAGCGTCTCAGCATTTGGTTTACTCCCTTTGGTATTCGGACGTTGGATGTGCTGGTGACCGGCATAGGGGCCGGGGCCAGTGCATAGATTCTGTGAAAGAAAGCGGAAGGAAGTCTTCTGCTGGCGGAGCCTACGCTTACATCTGCAATGCGAAGGCAACTAGAAAATAATGCTGGAGAGGGTTTTGCGTCAGTCGTGAAGACAGCCAGCCAACGATTCATCTTATATGGGGGCTTGCTCTCAACCTGTGCAGTTTTGCTGGGAGACGGATGATTTGTGAACGATGTAGTGTTTGGGCGGTCGAGTCCGCGGCAGTTTGTCTGGGAAATTTCCGGCAAAGGCAGGTCTAGAGTCTAGCACCGTGCCTTTATGCCACCTGGACCTGTTACGTGGGATTCTCAACGGAACGAACGATTCGATGCAAGTCAGTCAAAGACACTGTGTGAGGCCAAATTACTCCGGTTCTTTTCGCCGATGCGTTCTTGCAAAGCTCACACTTGACTCTCCTGCTTCATTGGCCCCTGCCCTTTGGGGTCACGGCCAGCTTCCAGGTGAAGTAGCTCAGGATCGCCTTGGCTGCTTTGAAGCGTGCAAATTGCCTGCCCTCAGACAAGAGGTGAGTAAACTGAGTAAACATTGCGCAGGCTAAGGCCGCCGGGGACCCTGGCGGCTGCGGCTCCGGCGGCAATACCCGCTGCCCAAGGGAACCACTGTCCTCAATGTGGCCACACAACAGTGCTACGGCGCTACGGGGTGAGCCCGGCGCGGGCATGGCTGAAGACTCCCAAATGCACTGCGCCTTCTGGAAGTTCCATTCCCCAGACAGGCTTCTGGAAGTGCTGCCTGTCCTGAAAACAAAAGCGCTTGGAGCCCGATTCGTGCTTCCTCTGAAGCAATCCATGGCGCTCCCAATGCCCCACAGGGGGGTGCCCCTGGGAGAGTGGGTTCACCATGCACATCCTCGTTGACATTCTCAGTTAAACGTACCCTGGCATCACCATCAGCAATCTAGTCTCACCATCGTCGTTACCGTCATCGCCTCTGTCGTTCGTCTTGATCACTATCATGCCCATCACCATCACCACCACCACTACTACTACCATCATCATCATCATCATCACATGACTTGTCACCCTCAGCACTGCGACTGAACGGCGCACACGACCGTTACGCCTCTTGCGGTGCACATTCTGGACCAACACCGGTTCTTTCGGATGTCCCACGCCGGCCCCGTCCGCCCAGGACCCCCATCCCGCCGGTCTGACGTTTTTAAGACAAGGAATTCGGCGACATCGTGCTCCGCAGTGCCGCGAGGTGCGGTATTTTGGGACTCGTGTTTCCGCCTTTCAATCTTGGAGTTGGGCTCGTGCTCTCGGGCATGGTGCTCGTGTTCTGGTGCCGATCCTGCTCCGAACACAGTATGGGGGTGGTTTTGGGAGCCTTGGAATGGTTTTGCTACTGGAGGTGCTCTTCCACTCTTTGGGGCCTACGCTGGCATGAACTTGACTGCTTTGCACCGACATTGGAACGACTACCACCATTGCTAAAGTCATGAAGGTCACTTCTATTCTCCATAGTTGCTACCGTTGTCATCAACAGCACCAGCACCATCACTACAGATGTACGGTGTCATGTGCGCAATGTGCATTCGCTTTCCAGGATGTCGGCTTCGGTCACCAATACCGGCTCGGGGGTGATGTGAGAACAGTGTCCACAACTATCCACACCCCCCCGTCTGCTGCGCCGGCCTGAGCCACCAGTCCAATCCAAAGACCAAGGCTTGTCGATGCTACGGCAGCCAACATGTGCGGCAGCCTTCGAGATATGCCAAGGCATCAATTCACTGTGAGTGGATGATGCAGAACATGCTCGTCCAGATGCCAGCAAAGTCCGGCGACCCTCCTTGCAGCCATGCATGCTCCGGATTGTTCCGGCCTCTTGCCCCAAACGATGGCTCCCGTTCCTGCATGGCCCAGGCTGCTAACTTGAATGTACAAGCAATCGCTTTACCCAAACACTAGACAGCCACAAAGAAAACAGGCATCTGGAATTCTAACTTAAATCAACACCACGAAAGCAAGAAATCACATCTTGTGCGATCGAGACATTCGGAGTGATTTTGACTGAAACTATCTGAAACTTCAAGAATTGTGGCTCGTAAAATTAATTTCGCCTCTGGGAAGAGTTGGCCAGGACAGCTCCTTGTATATTAATTATTGAAGCCGGATAAATGCTGACCAATGCGCACCAGACCTTGTTGAAGAACAGCTACGGCTACGCCTACTGCAAGCACGTTCAGGGTGCTCAGCTTGAGCATATCAGCATTCGTAGAGGACGAGATGAAGCAGACACAAAACCAATCACGCCCTTTCTGCAATCATCACAGAATATCACAGAGGAGCGCTGCCCCTGGCCTAGAATCAGTCCGATGGCATGCATGACATCCGGGTCGCCAAGGAAATGCTCTACCTCACTGGCCCCGACGTGAGGGCTCTGTCCCGAGGACTTCGAGCATTAAGGCCCTGTCCTCTGCGGCCGAGAGCCATGTAGTGTTCGTGTGGTTGGAGATGATGGAGCCTTGGACCGACGACATACCATGTCTACATTACCACTGGCTCTGCGGCATCGACCAGCTGTTGTCAAGAGTTCGAAGCCCAAACCCGAGGAGGGGTCCGAGAAGTTGGCCTTGCACCAGACTGTAATCATTTTCAGGTGCGTGTGCAGGATTTTGCAGGATGGTGCTCGGTCCGGCTAAAGACTGTGCCTGGAATTCAGGCGTCGTGCTTGTTGAGTTCACGATCATCGGCTGAAGCCATCAAGACCAGGAGGCAGTGCTACGTACATGCTACTGGGCTTTGCCAGGCTGCTGTCTGTGACAAACCTGTGTTGGTAAGCGATGCTCATGGTATCTGGCAGGATGGATCTGACCTAAGCCCATGATAGTTTTACTTACCGGAAATGGCGCGAACAGCTGACACTGCATGAGCAGCTGTGGACGTCTGACCTGGCTTTTGGCTGGAGTACCTTCACCAGAGTCACAGGTAGGAGTAGGAGCATGACGTGGCGTCGTGCACTCGCAAGATCGGCACAACGAAATTGGGAGAACATGCGAGAAATTAGCACGGCCTTTTGTCGAATAGTAGAGTGCTATGTTTGTCTGCACCGCCAGATCTTCTAGTCACATGGCTTTGATGCCGCCCAGCAGGTTCCCGTGGTGATGTGGCGGAGCGAGAATTGGCGCAGGCTCGCATGTCCATGCTCAACAGACAATGAAGAAGATACAGTGTTAGCCTGGCTATGTTCTGTCACTTGGGAACCCAGGCTAGCACCGGTGCGTCTTGTTGCTGCGAGATGTGACTGGGACAGTGGCTGGCGTGTGACACGACGTGAACTACATATTAAACGCAAACCACAAACCGTAAACGTACTTCCAATGGCTTTTCACGGTGTATCTGCCCGAGGAGGCATGCACTGATCCGGCTACGCAGCACCGGTAGCAGGCTTGTAATTCGGATTCTTCTTCAGGATAACGAAATCCTTCGCATGTGGCTCTAGTGCCAGGCTCTTGCCAGAACACGGCTGTCGCGTTGCGTTGCAGATTTCTGAAAAATCCCCAGTCCTCTAAGATGGTTCCAGGCGTCACCGGCAGGTACTCTTCTGTCGCCAGCTCCGCTCTGTCCTGCTACATCAGATGCACAAGATGACGATCATGTGTTGACTGTGCTGGCATTTCAACGATGTAAACACCAACCAACATCACTAACAAATCAACGCCTGAAAGTTCAGAAGCACTGGAGTAGTTCTTGTCTGGAAGCCCGTAATCTGCTTTGGACGGCCAGCCATGCCAGTCACCTGTGGAAAGCTCTTGTCTGGGTCGACATTACAGCCATGCGATGACTTTCTCCAAACAGAAGACTTGGCCGGCTGCGTCCACTGCCTGACCTACACGGACAGCCACTTTCAGCTCGTTCATGTCCTTCGACGGCCAAGCAACACTTGTCCTTTGCTTCTGTCACCCACCCACACTTCCTCGTCCACCGTAATCAACCATCTTGGTCGCATCGCTGGGACCACGTTGTACAGCAAGTAGTGGCTTTTGCCCAGAATTGTGTTCCTTGTTCCAGGAACATGTCGTGCAGATCGTGGCCGTCGCACCAAGCAGAGCCAAGCCACTTGAGGTGCAGCACCGAATGCGCCTCGGCAAGGTCAGTACGTCTCCGGCCCGGTACCATCGTTGACAGTTCCACAGCCGAGAAATTGGCCAGCACTGCAAGGGAGCCAAAGGCAATTGGATCCACCAAGTAACCTGCCAAAGGCTGCATACAATTGGTCAGGGAGGGGTCTGCACAGGCGACAGCCATTTGCAACACAGTAGCGATCGCTAAAGAGAGGATTGATGGTGAGGAGACCCTTGCCCATGTACAGAAGGCCTCAGATGCGTCTCGAAACCATGAGCAGAACGCAAAGAACTCACGGGAGGATCTGTTCTTCGCACACTGTTCATCTAGTTGAAGAGCTGGCTGTGTTGGAGCACAATTGCGATCTACCCCATCAAGAAGTCATGCAGCATCACATCTGCAATAGGCAATGTCTGGTCGAACACTACCGTCGAGTCACAGATAGTGCATGGCTACACGAGTCTTGCGCGTCTTCATGCAGCTACTAGACATTGCAGACTTTGTGGCGGGTGCCCGACTTTCGGCTCGAAACACTATGATGGTGCCTGTTTTCGAGGAGAGCCACCCTGAGCAATTCTGACCATGAAGAGTGCATTGGGGTCTTTCGCATAGTATGCCGCCAGCTGCCTGGAAAGGCGAATATCTGACTGAGCCATCAACTTCAGCAGCATCAGCGACCCAAAGCATGCTGGCCTGAGCAGGCCTGCTAGACGTGCATTGTTCGTCCCGGCACCTACAAACGTGTCTCACAGGCGCACCCAACAGAAACGTCACTATCACCACCAAGTCCGAGCTATGCCGGCCTATCAGACCCATACTCATCATTGCACCGGTCGCCACATCCTGAAGCAGGGCTCCCCCACAGTGCAGGCAAGGCTTCGCCAGGCATCCGCGTCCTGGTCTGCATCGTGCGACAGCTTCGCAAGCGTGTCAATCACGAGCACCTGCTTCGTGTGTGAGAACTGTGAGCTGAAATGAGGCCGATTGCTGACCTTCGGATTGGACAGGTGCAGGATCGCCAAGGCGATTGGGACGGCTCGCCTACATGGCTGCTTCTCTTCAGTTGGCTTAACACGCCGAAGCAGACCAGTCACATGAAAAGCCTGAGCGTCAGCTCCCCATATTGAAGTATGTGATCAATCGATCTGCATGCCATTTCGGCACCTAGCATTGACAGCTAACACGATGTGGTTCGAACCACAAACATCATGCGGTCCACTCAAGTCTTTTTCACACATGCTTGGGCCGTGGCCGATCTCTTCGCCGAAAGCAATCAGAGCTATTCCAAGCACCGCCGTTGCCTGAAGCAAGCATTGCCTTTTCAATATCTCCAGCGATGAGCAGCAAGAGCAACAAAAGAGGCCTGGTGAAAGGCTTCCGCTTCTTCAAGGTGATCGGTGCATGCTTGCAGCCTTATGACTTGACTCTGAAACCCCCGATTTTTCAGATGAGTGAGGAACCATTCAACAATATGCGGCTGCAAGCCGAGAGCACCGCATTTTCTGCACATGCAATACGTCACCAGAATAAGCAAAAGCGAAGCCTCCGACTTGTAGAAGCAACAACTCAGGAACATCGGCGGAAACATGACGCATGGCTAGCAGTAGCACTGCAAGTGGGGCAGAGTCCTTCCACGGTCAGCTTCGCATACTTCCCCACTGGATGTGTGATCGCATCCAGGGCTGACAAAGTTGCTTCTGCAGCATCCTGAAAGCAAGCACACTTCCATGCCATCTTACTGTGCTCTCAGCTGTAGATGCTGACCTGCTGCCCCAAGTACAGGAGACCTGCACACAGGGTTTTGCAGCACGTCACCACCTTTGACAGTGCCTGCTTGGTTCCTGGCCTAGGCCAACTGCAAAAAAGTGTGGCCAGGTACCATTCAAGGCATTTTCTACGGCCTCAGGAGACGACAAAGCCGAGTTCGTTGAGTCACTGACGTCCAGACATGGACGGAGGCTGAGGAGGAGACTTGTCTCTCGATGAGTGTTTGTAGAATTGCTTGGGCCACCTCCCAAACACTTTGAAGTGCTAGCTCCGGACTGCAAAATGTCTGCGACGATGCGCGTGACTACGGGCCTCGTCATTGCAGGATGACACGAAAGCCAGGCCCAAGCTAACTGCTGCCATAGCTGAACACTCGATGCTGCAGGCCTCGGGCAAGATGTGGTGCGACACAGGCCGGCATATCTGCCACAACTACTTCTTTTCCACAAAGCGGGTACCCCCAGAACGAAAGCTGGAACGCTTGTCTTGAGTGGGCATTCGAGCCGAGTCAACGTCGTTTGTTGAATGTCCTCAAGCCAGCTCCAAAGCCATTGTCCAGTTTTAATTTGTGCTTAGCGGGCAAGCTAGGGTACAGTCCACATGGGCTAGCGTACTCCACTCCCGCCGTTCCTGGTCACATCTGGCCACTCGACGGCCTTTACTCACAACCAGGTCGGGACCGTGTGACAATCAGGCCCGGGCAGTATCAACGATCATGGGAGTGAGATTCTCCAGAAGATCCTCGTCGGAGATCAAAGATTAGCAGTGACCCTCTCCTGCTGATTTCTTGCCGGCTTGTCCTCTCGGCAGCTTCCCGCATATGCGTACCCCAGGCCAACGACTGCCGCTAATCGCAGCTGTCCATCCTGCGAGATGAAGCTTGCGAAGTCACGGTGTGACGATAAATCTAGACAGATGATGAAAGAGACAAAAGAGAGACTCCTCCCAGCAAACAAGTAACGGAAAGAGTTGCCAGTCTTTTGCGTCAACAATCTTAACAATAAAACTCTGCCGATTACTCTCTGTACATCTTCAGCGCCGGCATGGGGCAACAGAGCCTTGGAGTGAACGCCTGCACACCACTTCGCAGGAACGTCTAAAGCGACAACCCCCTGCAGCATTTCCCTATCCGAAAACACGGCGAATGGCTCCAGAACCACTGTAGATAACCGTTTAAAATCTTCCGGGCATGTTTCAACACGCCGTGCTCCCGCAGAGGCTTGCCACTCGAAAATCTGCACGCTTGCAGAAAAAAGTTTTCGGAACATGTTGCTGACAAGCTTCAGGCATGTTCACTTCGTGCTGATTGCGGCGAAGTGCATCCGAAACAACTGCTTCTGGAAAACTTCAACTAAACTGTTTTCCACAGACACACCGCAATTTTCGTCCAATATTCCCAGCTCCTGCAGACGGTTGCGAATTCCGGAGAGCAACGGCCCCGAACGCTCCAAAAGTTTTGCAGCAGCTGAAATGCGGCTTTCCCTTAGACCTCTGCCTTGAAGATCCTTGATGGCAGGAAAAAGAGAACTTACAAGCCTTTCGCGCGCTCTGCAACAGCGTCCTCAGCCTCCAGCTGCTCACCCAGAAGTGCCCATGCCGGGTCACATTCGTTCTTGACCTGGGAAGGTCGTTCGCTGAAGGCTGAAGTCTGGCTGCGCTGAGGGTCTGGCACCACAAGTGACCAGGCCGAAAGCCAGCAGCGCGCCAGCCTGGCTCCCGTCAGCAAAGCAGTGACAGATTGGGGCACAGTGCAGAGCCTTCAGGTTCACATCTGAACTCCACTGGTACCTCAAGAGAGAGGTCCTTGTTGCCTCCAGGCCTTCACATGTCTCCACGACCTACAGCCGTCAGTCGGCATGGTCTCTTTACTCTTTACGTCGACGTGAGGCGCACTTGTCGATCTGTGTGAGGCCCTCGTCGATACCCCACAAGAGCAGCGCGCCCAAGGAGCCCACAGTGCTCATCATGCCCTGATCCTTCAAAGAACTTACTGCTTTTTATCTTGGCAGATACCTCCCGAATGAACTCTTGCTTCCTGAAGGGAGCTGAGATTTTCCACTGCAACTGGGATGTAGGGGCCATGATGTCGTGAGCTTTGTGCGACCGGGCAAGCCTTGTTCTTGTACACCCACTTCGAGTCCGCAATCGTCATTAGCTCATCCTACATCAGCAACACTCGCGTTTCTCAGTCTGGCTTGCTATCACACGCCCACGTGCAGAGAACTCCTTGCAGAAGCCAGCATTCACGAAAGCGTTCACGAACGAGGAGGCCAAGTTCTGCTTTGCAGAATCCAATACTGCAGTGGACCGCTTCTCCTGCAGGAAGGTTTCTGCTGTCTCGACGGTCATGTTGAGTGCAGACAAATGCAATGTCGACTTTACTAACCATGCTGCTCTACTGCTTGCAATGCTTTGCTTCCACTACATGCTTGTTGCGGTGTCAACAATGAAGCCCGTACGTCACACCAAACCCTACAAGCTGTGGCAGGCTCTATTTCGAGCGACAGGTTCGTGAGCGAGGTGTCTGTCAGATTGCTGGAACGGCCCTCTTGGCCGGGTCATCCGACGCTGGTCACGTGCCTCCAGGTGCGACTTGTAGATTTGTTCGGGCAGCTTGGGCTCCAGAACATCAAGCTCCTTCGCGGACCGTCTCCCCTGGCCACAGCCCAAACATCAACCCTTCAAAATTGGGCTCCTTGGCTAAGGAGATGAAGTGCTTCGAGAGGCTCTCGCCAGAGGCAATCTCTTTCAGCTCATCATCCTATGTCACATGATACATCCCTGCTCACAAGCTGTCTTGCAATGAAATCACACGATTGACGCCAAAGGCAACCTCCCCAAAGTCATGATCGAACTTTCGCCGTGATATCCTCAGGCACAAGAATCGTGGGTTCTGCGACATGCTTTCACAATGGTCATACCGCCAAGTCGCATGAAAGCCAGCTGCTTCTGGACAAGTCGGTCCTTGACAGGTTGAAACAATTACCGGTGGCAGATTATAAGCAATCCTGAGCACTCAGCTTAACTTATAACGAATACCAGAAAGTGAGAACACGGATTTAGGAGGATTACTGCGGGTATTCCCTATAATTTGCCTTACTGGCATGAGGAAGATGATGATCCAACTTTCTTCCTCTGCTTTACTGATTCATTGTTTGCGCCGCATGCGGCATGGTTTAGCGACAGCATGCAAGGATGTCATAATCTGCCAGCCAAAAAGCTAGCCGGGATGTCAGGACATTCGGCTCCCCGCAGCCCGAACGCTAGGGAGTCCCCAGACTGACTCTAGAAGCCTTTTTTCATAGCGGAATGATGAAACTCATGTCGTGGGCTGCGCGCGAGCTTGCGCTTCGGGACAAACGGGGGCAGCGGGGGCAGGCTGAAGCACGGCTGCGTGCTTGCTTGCCCTGTCCGTTTTGTATTTTTCGATCACGGATGTGTAGATTTTCGTGCATGTTTGTCCCTTTTCCCGCGGCCTTTCATGCCGCAAAAATTGCTGACATCGCCAGTGTACTGCCGCGATGAATTTTAGCTGTTTGGAAATCTGTGAACCAATCCGGTACATCGGTCCACAGCCAGAAGTGTTCTGAACAGCTTTAAAGTAATATTTCGGCTGCCGGATAAAAGAGAGGAGCCAAACAAACAAATGCACCGGATCAAGCACAAAAACAAGGAGTGGCTCAACAAACATTTCGGGGTCCGCCGGGTCGGCCAGCCGGCCGTCAGGGTAGGGGATCGAAACAAACGCAACATGCATCAAAATATTGAAGGTGCACAAAAACGACGAAATCATGTGTCCTGCAACATATTGACTGGGTCCTTCGGTGCGGCAAGCTTGGGGTTGTGTAGCCTTTGGTTTCAAAGGCTATGTTTTGCAAGCTATTGGGGAATTCCAATTTGTGCAATATTGTGCAATTCGCTGTGGCTTCCACACGTGGGCAAGAATCGCGTGGGCTTCGGCTGGTTCGGGTGAAAGTTGGTGCGCCTGGGACCGGGACCGGGACCTTTCGCTGCAACCTACACACTGGTTACGGTCCAAAGCTGGCTGTTGGCCTGGGAGAAATTATCCCGGCAAGGGACTCTAGCGACAAGGATCCTGGCGGATACATGGTTCCATTTGACTTCGAACAGTTCGTTCACTGCGCGATGGTCAGCGGTGTCTGACTCGCGACGGCGAATTTGTCCATGATCCCCTTCCCAATTTTGCCACCGCCGGCGTTGTTTGCCCGTCCGTTTTCCCCTGTTTTGGTTTGCACGAGCATTGGGTGGAGGACCTTTAGGTTCGGGTGGTCGTGTAGAACCAGATGCACTCGCCATAGACGAAGTGCCTGTGCCATGAAAAATTACATTCTTCTCCTTTTCGGACATTTGGACATCTGCGATAGATACCGCTCCCGGTGACAAGTGAGCATCAGATGGCAACCGTCTTACAACTTGTTTCAATTGAGATGGATCTGCAGTACCCTTCTTGAGTCTGGTCATGAGGTTCGGTGGTAACGCAATGCCGGAGTCGACCAAGATCGTGATGAGTTCAACTGGAACTTGTCTGTCGTTGTGTAGCGGTGCCAAACCAGAGGAATCAATGTAAAGTTGACGATCCTTTGCCGCAGTATCCCGCCTGAAATAAGTGAATTGTGTCTCTCCTGTGGTCTTCGCGATGACCTCACAAATCAATGCGTGGCAGACGTAATGCGTGTCGGTCCAAGTGTTGCCAACAATCTTGTGAGGGTCGGGATTGAAATCGTCCTGTGAATAATTCAGGGGTTCTGCACCTCTGCGAGAGATTAGCTGTGAGAATCGGAACTTCCGCAAGAGAAAGGTGCCATCAGGGTCCTTCGTCTCCTTTCCATGTCTCGGCTCGTCCGAATCGCCTGGTCCGTCACTTCTGCACTGATTCCGGCGTTGGGATCAACGCGTGCAAGGCTTCCCATCTGTCCAAACTGGTCGAAGCGGCCGAAGCGGCACCCATTCTGAAAGTTGTCACGCATCTGTTCGTAGCCACGTTGTTTGTGTTTCAAGAAGGCTTTCCAATTTGGAAATGCACCTACACAGGGCGAAGCTCACGTAGGCATACCACAATCAATGCACTGAGCGTCTCTCGTGTGTGGAAGTATGGTGGCTGAAGTGCCAGCTTTGCTCTTGCTGCCATAGTGTCGACATTGAGAACGTTGATGATAACAAGCACTGGACGCAGTTCTACTCCGTGGGAATCGGCATCTCTTTCCGCATCCTCGCCTTCATCCATCATTTCTTGTTGGGGCTCCTGTTCCATGGAAGGGTCTCCTCTTCCGTCAAAAAGGGAGGTGGCGCTTTCAAGAATGTTTGAGTGGTAAGAATGGGGAAGCTAAGGAAGCAGCCATAGGGCCTCAAGGCTTCCCACGCGGACTCTCAAGGAGCCCAGTCCTGGCACTGATACGCCCCAGCAATGGGGAATCGCTGGGCCGTTGTGGCCGCGGTCCAACTAGTCAACAGGCTCAGCGTGCTTGGGGTTTTGGGGGGGGGGTGCTGTGGAGGGATCATGCAGCAATCCCATCCGTCCCCATCTGCTGGAGGAGACGGGGTGCTCCGTCTATGGCCGCATCGCCAGCAATGCTGACAGCCGCGCCCACCCCTTATGCACCCTTGTTCGGCATCGATGTGAGAAGCGGTTGTAATCATACTCTTGCCAGCAAGCCGCGCAAGTGGTGTCCCGAATGGTTGAGGGTTTCCGGATTCTCCGAATCAACATCAAAACGAAGGTGGCAGCAACTCTCTGTGAACTCGCGTGGCGTTGACAAGACTCCAACATGCCGAAAAGATGCATGTGCGGGCGGAAGGGAACTTTAACTTTGAGCCTCTGCTGCATGTGTGACAAAAAACTGGGCCTTGAGCAATTAGTGTGCTCCTTGCAGAGGCACAGGCCCTGCTTTGCTTAAGGCCTCGATGTTTTTGCAAATGGTCTCCAACCCGACGTGCCGTGCGAACGCGGAGACTTGTTCGAGCCGCTGCCTCCGAGGGAGCGGTAAGCTGGGCCCTGTCCAAGGCTGCTTTACAAGCTGTCTTGCAATCCAAGGCGGCAGACAAGCAGCGGCACGGCAAAGGTGCCCACATACAAAACGGGACAGGCGGTCCTGCAAAGAATGATCGGAATTGTTGCGGGCATGTACAGCTTCAACAACATGCTGGGAGCATGCGAAGCATCCCACGGTAATACTCAGCCAACCCTCAGTGGGCCAAGATTTCAAGGTATGGGCCGGAGCGGCTGGCATACTAGCTGAAGTGAGCATTCAAGATTCTTCCTCGGATGTTCTTGAAGTCATCAGCTCGGTGGGGCGCAAACTTTTGGAATCTTTTGGATCAAGCAGTGAATGCCGGAAGGCGGAAGGAGTGCTTTGCAACCGCTGCCGTCCCTGTCACCAATTCGCGAAGCCGTCAAGCTTGAGATGGCCGAGGTCGGAACTATGGACAGGTTTGAGGTAACGGCTCCTGTAATGTGCCGTGTGTTTTTTTGCAGATTGCTTGTTGTGGCATGTTGCTGAAACGCAGGGAAAACGCACTATTTGGGGGTTGTTCTTTATTATGGTTGCAGCCCGTAACTCGAAAATCGCCTTGCGCTTCGCCCTTGCGCGCTCTTGCGCGTACAGGCTTTTAAACACATTCCACCTTGTAGCCTTGATGGACCAGCCGGAAAATAGCAAGTCCAGAAACCGGCTTGAAGATTTCGTGCAGGGAACTTGGGTGGGTTTTCAAACAACTGTCACGCAAGAGGAATGGGGCATTGGGCGAAGTTGGAGGGTTCCCCTTGAGCCGCCCTTGCGCGCTGAACCCTGTGTAAAACTGATTCTGGCTGTAATGATACTAGGACTCCTGCTAGTAGTAGTGAGTGATACTAGTAGTAGGTAGTAGTTCCCCTTGCGCTGAACTTGCGCGCGCTTGCGCGGCGTCGTGTTTTTACTAGGTCCCAAACCTGAATCCAAATATTAAAGTGCGCTGTTAGTCTACCATAAAGAGCCGGGGGTTTAGAACAACTCTCATTTATAGCCAAAGGCATCAATCCGAAGGGCCAAACAACCCGAGCCAGCGTAGCTGTGGAGACGCAGTTCATGTCGAACTGTGAAAGGAACCTTATCATGCGAGACGCAGTGTCAAATGAACGTAAATAAACTCCCCCCCACCCCCCTCCCCCCCACCCCCGCATAAGAAAAAAAAGCTTGAAACCCCTGAAAAATGGCTTACACACAAGGCGCGTTAGGGGCGCCGTCACCAGGTTTGAGCCCCACACACACAACAACTGCGAGAACGTGAAAGGGCAAACGCACCACGTGATCATCGTTTTGGTGTTTAACAATTTCTAAGTCTGCGTTTTCCGGATCGGATAACAAAGCCGAGCGCACTCTTTTGGCACAGGAACAGTCTGTCTCAAAATGTCTGAAAAGCGCTTTGGTTTGGCTTGGCTCTCCCTGGGCTTGGCTTGAGCTGGGGTGAGGGTTGGGGGCCGGCTTGTCCCTTCTCTGCCATACACACCTGCTCGTAAAAGATTTTCATGAATTACCTTCTGTAGCGTGCTCATGATACACCGCAGTACTGGTCACGCTGTCTGACGCAGATAACAGTGCCAAGCGCACCCTCCTGGTGTATAACTGTGCAACAGCGATGGTGCGGAGCACAAAAGGGCAGTCCTAAATGGCTTGGTTTGGCTTTGGGCTTGGATTGGTTTCAGCGGGAGGATGGGTTGAGGGGGGCGGGCGGCTTGCCCCTACAAAGAAGGATTGCAAAAAATACAAACCGCCCTTCTGTCCGAATGCACTGTAATGTAAGTGTCCCAATAATAATTCGGGCGATAATAAAAAAACCTCCCCGGCCCAAAATTTCCCGATTTGCTTGAGTTT